TACACTTTGTACAAAAGTGGATAGTATGGACAACGAGATACAAAAGCTAAAGACTAATGAAGATAATCTGAAGTCCAAAGCTAGTATAAGTCAGCAGCATGAATATAAAAATGCGGAGTTATGTCGATCGGAAGACAGAAAATATCCATAGTTAAAAGGTGACGTTGGGAAACACCTAAAAACATTTGTTACTTATTTACAACCTTGTCTCCTAACTTTTACACTTGTCCTTAATATGCACATGCATAATTTTACACTTATTGACTATTTTACACTACCTTGTCTTTCTTACAATAATAATGCTGACTAATAATTTACATTGTCACGTTACTTTACAATTAGTCAAAAACTTTAACTTTCCTTTTATCTTATCAAATGTTCTTTGGGTTAATCAATAAGGTGGTGCTGCCTAGGTCTGAAACAAGATTTGTTGCCTCTGTTGCGGTCTCGTTCCTTGTTGAGGAGTTGAGCACAATTGAGTTAATCAATCTCCCTGCCATCATGCTGGAGCATATGCACAAGACCATGTCTGTTAAAGATGGAAAGCATGGCATGGGCTATGGATATTTGCTAACAAAGGTGTTCAAACACTTTGAAATTCCCCAACAAAAATGAATGATCAATATATCACCAATGTGCTCCTGAAGATAAATGCAAAGGTAAGAGTTCCGAGCATCGTGAACATCTTTCAGAAGTCAATTCTCCAACCAATGTGAGAGAAACGTAAAGATGAGCATGCATGAAAGGGAAGGTGTGGGAAACGTAAAGATGCACCGACTAGTCCTGAAGGGGGTAATAGTTTGTGCTTGCTTCTTTCCATATCTACAAGAGAGGGCTCTAATTAAATGGATGTCATTTTTCATACACAACATCTGTTACTAGTATGTATGCATCCAATATAATATTCTCTGTAACGGTGATTGCTGTAACCACTAACACTTCAAAAATAAGCAGCCAGACTCCTAATCTTCGTTACCGGTGGAGGTAAACTATAAGGAGCAAGAATTCGACTAGATAATTCACCACGGTTAGAAATGGTAGCTACAAGTGATAGAAAAAATAGAAATAGCTTAAGGCATGTCATAGTAGTGTAGATGCTCACCTATAGGTGTATGAGTAGTACCCTGTCTTCCCAGTGAAGTAGAGCCTTCCTCATGGGGTCTCACAACATAAAATTAAATAATATAACAATTATATCAATAATTTATTTAATAATATAACATAATAAAATCACTAAACTATAAACAATTGGGTAATCAGTGAGATAGGGATTTGGCTCCTCTCCATTACCCTTTCCCTCCATTTCGTCAAGTACACATCTAGATGAGAGACATGTGTACTATTTAATTGTTAAAGATCAAGATTATATTACATTAACTAGTATCATAACCATAGTTAAGTGAATAAGTTTGGAAAAAATTCTCTTCAAATTTAGTAAGAATAATTAATTCTTCTCAATTTTTGGTATCCATATATTTATATCATTAATTTTATTTTATATTTTTATTATTAAATATTAAAATTATGGAACATGAACTTAACAACGTTTAATTTGTTTAGCCTAATAGTAGTCTTACAAAAAAATTTACCTTTAAATTGATGTTTTCTTTTCTTTTATTTTTTAAAAAGAGTTTTTTTTTTTATACTTTCACATTTGTAATTCTAATGCTATTTTTTACTTCCCTTTTTTATTATATGATTTCTATCATCAATGATAATTCTTCCTTTTATTTTTTAGATTTCTCAATCTAATATTTCAAGAATAAATTTGCTAGCATAGGAAGCGATTAAATAATGTAAAATATTAATAGTTAAATATAGAAATATAAAATGAAATCAAACGATTCTAAGATTTGTAGGAATATTTTTCTTACCAAAGTTAAGAAATTATTTTTCCAAAACTTATTCACTTAACTATGGTTATGAAACTAGTTAATGCAATATAATCTTGATCTTTAATAATTAAATAGTACACATGTCTCTCATCTAGATGTGTACTTGACGAAATGGAGGGAAAAGATAATGGAAGGGAGCCAAATCAGTGAGATAGCCAGCGTTTCTCATTTTGGGTACGTAAGGGTCCCTATTGGGGTATGACACATTCGTCAAAGAAAATTATTTATGGACAAAAATTAAAGGTTACGTTTCAGTTTTTCCCCTTTTGATTATTCTTAAATAATTATTCTCCCAGAAAATGTAAGGTAGGTAAAAACCTCATTAAAAGGAAAGGTAAATATGAATGAAATAAAAACACCCAACTTTACAAATTTTACTTATTTTGAACTACCAAAAAATATAAACAATTTACTTAATATAAACCAGATAGGGTCCTAGACAAGAACGAAATCAAGGAAAAGTCAAATTGCAATCGTTGAAACTTAGAAGGACTCTAAAAGGAACTCAACACCTTAATTAGTTTAGGAAAAACTACCTAATCACACATACATCACTACCATATATACTATATTTACCTCTAGTTTAAAATAATTACACATATTATCACTTTTAATATTTATACCATATATTTTAAAAGATTTTATAAGATACACAAATCCCTTAAATATGGTATTGGATAATTATCTTAAATTTAAACTCCTTAATTAATGGTCATTAACAAGTTAAATTTTTTCAATTATCATCTGCCACCGCCGTTCCCCACTCCCATGTCCAGCAGCACGTACACTTTCTTTCTTCTTCTTCTTCTCCCTCTTTAATTTATTCCGTCATTCTCTCAATACATGTTCGCATATTTAATTCAGTATTTTATATATAGGTTTGTTTCTATTATTTTATTATTCTCATGTATCATGATTTTGTATCTGAGTTAAAATTCATAATGTTCTTAAAGTTCTAATTTTAAAAAGTTTTACAAATTCGGTTTTATATTTTTTGATTTTGTTGTTTCTCAAACACTTTAATGGCTGACCATTCTTAAAATCGGATTATTCTTGTTAAAGGTACTACACATTAACAATATTATACTAAATCAAACCATTTTTATTTGTTTATTCCTACTCATGAATTTCTCATTGCAGGGACTGACTCTTCATCATCCACTTTCAAACCGAGAATAGATCTAAGTACAGGGACGACTCAATCAAGATGAAAGAATTATGTCAAGTTTTAATTAACCGAACAAATACACCATTAGATATGCAATAATGTTGGATACAAATCATGTGTACATGTATCTAATTAAGAGTTCATGTATCTGACTTAAGATTATATGTATCTATGAGAACAAATTTCAGATGCTAAAAAGAGAAGAATTTTGAAACTTTTACCTTTTTGGATTAATGATAAACAAATACTCTACCATCATGATTTTTCCTAAATTCGTGAGTTTCAGTTACATTTCATAATTAGATACACATAATTATATGTATGTGCTTATTATGTATCTGAGATACATGTTTTGAATATAATGTATGAAACTAATACTTGATACATCAAATTAATACTAGATACCTATAAAAGATACATGAAACTAAAATTAGATCATATAAATAGATACATGAAATTAATACTAGACACATATAA